AGGAGCTACACCAACCCTATCACGAATATATTCATTCCGCATTTTGTCTCTAAGTGTAAAGCCACTCATCCACCTAATCATTCTCATCTCGGCTACACTTAACTTATTATTATGCTTCTCTTTTAAAGGCCAACATTCAGCGCCATAGAGCATTACAGGTCTCACCACCGTCTTATAAAATTTTCCTTTCAGTCTTAGCGGTACTTCTCTATGTCTATTATGAGTATTAGAAAAAAAAAAAATATTTTTTCTATTACTATATTATTTTTTTTAATATTTTTATATTTTTTTTACGATACGTTATATTTTTTCTATTACTATATTATTTTTTTTTAATATTTTTATATTTTTTTTACGATACGCTATTCATTACCTTTTATGATTAGTGGATCGTTCCAAACACAGTGTAATCTTTGAGATGTTAATTAGGTGCACTAGATTCCTTTGAATGCAATAATTTGACCTATTTAAGAAAGAAATCTATTTGATTCACAGCCTCGGAAAGCTTTTACAAGGTTCCAAATATGAGGATCTATGGCCTAAATTAATAAATCTCATTCATTTAAATCTAGCCTTCTTGCTCTTCTAGCTTGTGGAACTCGTTGAAAAACCCAAAGGTGGTAGTACTTCTCTGCTCCATGTTCTCGATCTAGCAATAGAAACTATAAAAACCGTCATCAGGTATGATCTCTTGGGCTTCACTGAAGCCAATTCATATCCATCACAAACTATAAACATTAGTGATGACAATATTTCAAATCATGCTACTTGTTATGGATCTTTCAAGGTCAACTTATCCTTAATGTCATTGCCAGCTCTATTTCTCCAACCTTAGTTTCATTTATTGCTTCATCACATACATTGCAAGAGGAGTGAAACACGTTCCAACACCTACGTCGAACTATCTCAAGGCTGTCTTATACAACTTAAAAAAAAACCTTCATCTTCTCATAAAGGGATCAAAAGTCGTCACCAAATACTTGCAATGTGTCAAGATTATCGTGATGAATTAGCCATGATAATTTTTCGAATTCATGAAGATTATCTCACACTTAATATTCTAGTGGTACTTGATGATGACTACAAGTATCTTTGTTCTGCATGCATGTGCAAGAGACAAATAATTTTTTTTAAGAAATTCATGAAAAACTCATAAACTTTGAAGCTTGGTACTTGATGATGACTACAAGTATCTTTGTTCTACATGCATGTGCAAGGGACAAATAATTTTTTTAAAGAAATTCATGAAAAACTCATAAACTTTGAAGCTTATCTCAAATTTCAGGCAAAGAAGAAGGCAATCTCCTCACCTATGCTCGCCACCGCCAACCCTACTAAAAAATATAGTAACCCCTTTCAAAAAACTCAACCAAAATGGAAAAATTGTAACTCTTTCAACCCAAAATTAAACAAAAATTTACATCAAATCAATCAACCTAAAACTCACCAATCTTGTCCTTACCTTGGCAAATGTCAACTTTGTTGAACAAACCTATTCAACACAACGACGCCCCAATTTCACCCATACCTCTGTGCAATCTCACTAATCAAAACAAACTACATCTCAACAAGCTCGTAGCATATCCTCAACACCGACTGGAACAGAATGATTTCTAGGCCCCGAGTGCCACCCATCATGTGACAATTAATCTCTAAAATCTAACTATGCATTTTGAACAACCTGTTAAGATATATAGTCAAATTGGTGATGGTACAGGACTTTCAATGACTCACACTGGTTCAACAAAATTACTCTCATCTTCCAAATCATTTACTTTAAATAATGTCATTTGTGTTCCCTCGATGAAAAATAATCTCAAATCCCTACTCCTTATGAAATTGAGCAACACTCCCCGCATTTGAAGCCTTCACGTGCGACCCATGCTCTGCCCTAGCCCACACCAGAGCTTTTCTCTTCTGCTTCGCCCCTCTATTCCTTACATAAGACTACACGCCCCTCTCCTTATCCAGGCCGAACCCGAACCTATTCCCAAGCCCTTCCTTCCCCCATTTGAATTTCATATTTTAGATTTTTGTTAAAATTGTGTTAAAAAAAAAAAGTTTGTGTTGTATTCTTATTATTGTTCATCGTTTCACCACCAATCATCGTCGATTATCTCAATAGAAAATGTTTAAAATGGATGTGGGAGGTAGATTTTTAAAATATCCATTTGATGAGAGGCATGAGTACCCGTCCTTAGTTATTAAATACAATTTTTCATACTCGTTTGGATATTTTTTTATAAAATTAAAGGATTTAAAATACCAGTCCTAGGAAACAAGAGTGTCCGTCCTTGGAAATTAAGTATCGTTCAAGGAAAGTAAAGTACCACTCGATAAATTGTTTGCTTGCGATTTAGCCATTCTTGTAAGTATATTGAAGGCTCATTATGTATTTATGCTCTTTGGTTGCAGTGTGTCACGACAACGACTATCGAGCCTTTTAAGACAGTTGAGAAATTGACATTCTCTCGAACCCCCTAATGGGGTTGAAGCCGGAAGGCTGTCAAATTTTTGAGTGATTTGAACTCGTAAGATTTAGAGTTATAAGAAAAATTAAATCTTGGAATTTTTAAAATTATTAAAAAATATAAAATATGGATGTTTGGATTTTAAAATAAATTGAAATTTTTAAGCATTTAAAAATTTATAGGCTCCTAGAGTTCAAAAATATCTAAGATCTATGCTTTCAAAATTTAGGCCCTTTTGGGCTTTGGAAAGTTAGGCTCCTTAGGCTTGAAATATTTAAAATTTTCAGCTTTTAAATTTAGGCTCTTAAGGCATAATTCAAGGATGGGGCTCTTCAAATTCAAAAAATCGTCACCGAGTTCGCAATATAATCTGCTTGCAAATAGAAGGCGGTTACTTTAAACCCCAAAATGAAATTTTTAATCCTAGAAACATAAGTTCTAAAGGATTTCAAAATGTGTCAATTTCAATACTACTTAAATACAATTTTTTGAGGTCTATGAGAGTATTTTAAGACTTCTATGAGTGAAAGTATTAATATGCTCAAGTTGTGCATGTTTTAGAACATTTATATAAATGAGCCAGCTTTGCATAATTTCACAGTACTACATACTCCTTTCTAAGTAAGATTCATCTCAAATTCATTTCAAAAAATGTAATCCAAGTAACTAAATTAAAGCATGTAACAACTTTGAAATTATGTAAACATATAAAATCATAAACCCGATTGGGCTCCAGCTACAATTCTAAATATTTTAACAAATAGCTTAGGAATGATGCATTGGTTAAGGTCAAACTTGTACTCAAATAGTTCATACTTTAAAAATCAATCAATCGAGCCACATTGTCTAAATGATAGGGTTGTAAGTCCCACCCAACTAGTCCGATCATTTTCCTTATAAAGACTAGAGTTGACGAGTATAGTAAATTTAATAAGTGTCACAATCATAAATATATAAATTTGTAAGTCCAAATCACCTAACTCAATCCTCCTCTATGTTGGGACAGGAGTCAACATACCAAGTAATAAACACATCAAAATTGATGAATTCCAAATGAACTTTCCCCGATAATACCCGTGTTAATTGAAAATCTAAAGCGGAGGGGTATTTCAAACCAACATTAAATCTAAGTTTTCAAACCAATACACAAGTTAAAATTAATCACTTAAAAATTTTAAAGAAAATCATATACACAAGTTAAAATTAATTACTTAAAAAGTTTAAAGAAAATCATATTCACTCTTTACAATGATTTATCAAGGGTGACAAACTTCAGACTGATTTCAGCTCATAAAGAGTTAATGACATATCAAGTGTACCTAAACTCTTAAGGATGTGGCTCGAGTCCTCTATTCGTGTGATTTTTATGTCAAATGACACCACAAAAAACGGTTACGACTAAAGCCTTCTGACCGAGTGATTGTCGTCAAATGACAATATTATATTATTGTCACGATCGTAACACGTATGTTCTTCAATGGCTTTAAGCTATGAACATGAGGGTACAATTGATTGACACAAAGTCTTATATCATCTGAGATTAACTTAAATTTGTCTCCGTAGATAAACATCCACCCCAGATTTATAAGGGTCTCTCGGACAACACAATCCGTGGTTGCTAACAATGATTCTTTAGTTAGATTGGATCGACTAATTCCTCCGGCTAAGTAGATCAAAGACAAAAACCCGGAGTGACAGAAGCATGAGATCTTGATCGGATTCATCATCATTTCCCCCACAATCTGCTTTAATTTTGCAACTTAAAAAACACATGTATTATGCTAATATATATTAAACATTCAACATTAAATGACTAAACTTAATCGAGAGTGCTCTCCTGTTATTGGGAGGGGTAATTAACCATATGAGCTTGCGCATATAGAAAATTTTGAACCCTAAATCAAAAAGTCCTCGCAAAAAGAAGGCAAAATCTTTGAGCCGTGTCTTGTTTACAATCCAATATGCCTTCTGAAAATTTAACCATCAAAGCTCTCCATCTCAACAACAAAAAAATGTGAGTTCGGGGTGCATCAAAATTTTTGGAGGCCACAAACTCCTTTATGACTCCTCTAGATGCTAACACATTCATAGTAATATATGTGAGTTCATTTGGGTTTTTAGGTGCTAATGAATTGGGTGAAAAAGATCTCTTTGAAGTCTACAAAGTAGGTGATCACCCTCCACTGTAAACAAGTGAACCACTAAAAGCGAACTCTTTTAAGGTGGTGACAAAAAGATAGCAACTTTGTGTGTCATTGGATTTGAGGGGTGAGATTGAAGCTTCAAAGGAAGTCATGTGGTCCAGGGATCCATACATCTCTTGTATGAATCCAAAGCCAGGATTTTGAATCTCCCCAGTGGAACAACCTCCACAATCTCCCTAGAGAAGTCATTTTCCAGTTGGGGTGGTTTCTACTGTCTCCTTCACCTTTACTTATGGCAAGAGGCAGACACCTCGCTATCTAGGAAATAGATGTGAGCTTCTTCCTCTTCAATGGGAGTGGAGGGTAGTGCTTGTGTGGCTTCCCTATTTCATCATCTCATGCCTAAGTAAAAGGACCAAATTTATATTTTTGCTCGATGAGCTCCCTTGGAAAATGCTCGATAGCCTTTCGCACCATCCTAGTCACTATAACTTCAAACACAACAAGATTGTGCTACAAACTCTCTAATTTCCTCCATGTTAATTGATGCTTCCTTGTCCAAAAGTTTTGGATCTCTATATGTTTCCCTTCATGCTCATCACACCTGAAAGGATTTTGAATCTAAAGTCTATGAGCACATCTTAAGTTGGAACAAAGAAAAAAAATGAAGAAAATGGAAAAAGATTACTCATTTAACTTTCCTCGATATTCCCATAGATGGCTCACTCATTTCTCTCCCTAATCTTCCAAAAAGAAGTAAACACTATTTTTATGGAAATAAAAGGTGGAAAGACTTGCATGAACATATTCTCTAAGGAATGAAGAAATCTCTGCCACACCGTTCAAGCCCCAAGAATAATCCTACACCTATTATAATTTGCCGACAGCATTAGAGATGGTGCATTCCGTCCGGCAACTTGCTTAACCCACATGTTCAAAGAAACTAACATTCAGGAGTTTTCAGGCAACACATGAGATTTAAGATATTAGAATTTAGTAAATCTTGTAAATCTAGATTTACTAAATCCTAAATGAGTTGAATTCGAAATTTTGTCTGGTAATGGATTTACTAAATCCTGTAAATCCAATAGAATTGTTTAGCAACTTCTACAAGGATTTAATAAGTTATGTTTGTAAGATACAATCGGAAGCAGCAAAGTTAAATCCCAAGCCCTACGAAGTTACATCCACCGGTTCATGAGATTTTGGATTTACGGGAGAATCAGGATTTAAGACATTCAGAAACTTATTTTGTCCAAAATGACCGTCTGATAGGATTCAGCTTAAATCTTGTGTGATCAGTAGCTAGAGAAGCCCTTAGGGGATATCTAGCAACGGATTAGATTTAAGTTATTATGGTTTAGTAAATTCGATAAATCCGGATTTCTTAAATCTTGTACCAACAGATTTAGTAAATCGTGTAAATCTAATAAAAGTGTTTGGCAACAGATTTACAACCTATCACATTATTCTCACATGTGTTCTTATCTTCCCTTCACCATAAATCCCATAAATCTGCCGATTCACGGGATTTACTAAATCTCAAATTTACAGCCAAAATTCACAAAATCCGAATTTATCAAATTCACAGCCTCATTTTGTCCAAAATGACCGTCTCATAAGATTTAGCCTACACCCCTTAAATCCCAAGATAAATTCGTTGCCAAACAGTCCCTTAAAGTCAAAGTCCTACCATATCGGAATTTGAACAAAAAAAAGAAAGAATCAGAAAATGTTTTATTATGCGAATTGTAAATTGCTTCTGCCGTCCTATTTGTTCGCCTGCTGGACTTGTAACTAGGTGACATTCATCGCTCTCCGCATTTTCATCTAATGTGAGGGTTTAAGGGACTTGACCAGGGCATGATTCTAATGAACTGTTAGAACTTCTCAGGTGTTCTCTGGCATCATGTCAGGAGCCACGTGTACGTGTTTCATTTCCAACGCCATCAAAGAATATACACTCAATATAGAAAGAAAAAAACAAAATGATTGCAGATGCTATACCAATATAATTTCCACAGCTATCAAAGAATACAACAGTCAGATTAATACTCTATTTTCTGTATGGCACGTACCCAAACTGTAGACATTAATTCAATAGGCTGAGAACCTTAAAAATCTGTGCAAGCTGAAGTATTACTTTTAACTCATTCTTCCCATATGATGTTTTCCTTGAACAATCGTCAAACCTGCAGAGTAAAACAATAGAATTTATAGAGAAAGAAAACAAAAACTAATTTATTTCTTTAAAAAAAACAAATATATTATGATGCAAATAAAAAAATGAGAGAAAGAGAAGGGGATTTAGGCTCCAATAGCATTGCTGTCTAATATTGTGTGGTAATCCGGATGATTATTTCTTAAAATGACGTTAAAACTGTCATCTAAAGTCCTTTAACTGTTTTAACAAATTGCAGAGAAATTGCTGCAGCAGTATTGGTTATTTGAATCATTAAAATTAATCATTGTCAATTGTTTATGATTATTTTGTAATAACATAATCGTTATTATATATATAAATAAAAATTACTTGGATTAAAACGTTGAAATACATGAAAGCATTTTTTTTTTCAAGATGCTAACTAAACCATCATTCATAAAAGAGCTAGTTTTTAGCTTTCAAGCAACTGAATGTCACCTTGTAGTTTATCCAAAAATCCTAAAACTATCAAAATGTTATAGATGTAAACATGAAAGTTTAGGAGCTAGAAATTTAAATAGATACGATTTGAATGCTATGTACGTAAATATTCCATTTATTTAATTTAGCTTTCTATGGTAACAGCCAGAAATAAGGAGCTAAACGAAACAAAGAAAATAGAGACTTGGGATAAAATGATACATTTTCGAACCCCACAAAGCTTTTCCTTCTTGGTTTAATGCCACAACTTATCAACTTTAAGCAATATTGAAAAATATAAGACGCCTTCGCCACCTGAAATTAGAACGCAAAAGCAAAAAAAAAGTCAGCTTAGAGTTCTTCGTGACAGCAAATTTAGTAAACTAAAAGTATGGACCCACTTGAACCTGCTTCTCTTATAAGACCACAATAATACCAAAATTACTAATCCCAGAAGTATCTTACATCCATATCTTTAATCATACCTGTTTAATAACAGACACTATGGCGGGTGTATATGATTCAATCTACTGAACCAAATTGAATGCAATATCATGTGAAACAGATCATACTTTTCTGGCCTTGCGTGCCAAAGAAAGTGCCTCTGCAACCTCTTCACGCACTCCTGCATTTTAACATACTTCCATGGAGGAATCCCCAACAATATATCCTTTAGTCTCGGAATATCTTTCTCTGCGACGACGACAGAAAATGCGCTCCAATCCAAAACTTCTTCCAAAGGAAGAACGAAATTGTCAGCAATGATTACAGGAACACACTCGTAATAAATGGCTTCGACTATCCGAGGACTGTTCACCTCGAATCCCATGGGACAAATACAAAACTTGCTTGATTTCATATGCTCAATGTATGACATTTTTCTCGCGATTTGGTTTGGAAGAGGGCCGAAGATTTTCATATCTTTGTCATTTTGATTTCCCCAGCGTTTAAGTAGGATTGGCCTGACCCGACCATGCATGTTGCCAGCGAAAAAGGCGAGGATAGGCCGCCGGGAGACTGGTCGGCCGCCAACTTGTCTTAGAGGTCGCCGAGGTAGTCTAATGGTTGTTTCAGGAAGGGATATATCTTTCCCCCTAATAAATATTCCCTCTGAAACATCTGCATTGCATAAGGCTTTGATGGTGTTTTTGCATAATTCAGCATGCAAAGTTGTTGTATAAGGACCCTGAAGTAGATGGAAGAAATAAAGAGAGAAGCAAAAATTGAGCCAGAGTTTGGAAGATCAAAGAGTTGTAGCATTAAAACAACAATCCAGTAGAGAGAGATTGCTTATGTGCCAAATCAGTGATCCTAACCTGGGCTCCGACATATCAAAAATTAATTCATTGTGAAATTGCCCGACGCCCCAATGGCTAGAAAGGAAAAACACGGGGAAGGAAAAAGATTAACCATTTTGTTGGACATGGGGATCACTCCCATGAATGTCCTCATTGTGATGCTAAACTTTGTTTTAAATGATAATAGCATTGCTTATGAAAATTATTAAATTTAATATAAGGTTCTAATTTCAGTATGAATATGTTTTTCAGCTATATAATAACTTTTCTAACACAAAAACATAGAGATAGGCTGTGCCTATGATCAGACGAATAGAAGATGTTCCTATGAGTTTCCTTTCCCAATATTTCGTGTTTACGAGATGAAATTTAAATTATTAACATTGAATATCGCCTGTACGCTTCTAATTAGTAAAAGAGCAAATTTTTATATGATTCTACATCTTCCAATAATGCAATGCTTGCAAAGCTTGTATAATGAACGATTTAAATGTCGCTATAAAACATTCCCTTTCTCTGCTTCATCTCCAGTATAATTTTTAATGGATGCTGAAGTTTGATTGCAAAACATTGGTAAGTTTGATTTTCAAAATGCACTTCATGAATAACTCTTTGACATCATATTTTTACCCAATTTTTCTTCTCTTTTTTCTTTATAACTCATGTATAAGAATCATCACATATTATAATTCAGTGGTACATATCAGGTGAACAATCTTACTATTCATTTTAGAATTTATGTGAACAAAATCTAATAGAAAAAAAATGTTTTCTTATAATATATATATATATATCTGTGTGTGGGTGTGTGTTTATTTTTGCATCTACCACATTTATAAACATCAAACTCAAAATCACACCATTGATTGTGATGTATTATAATATACAAAATTGAATGTGAATAGAATGTCATCAATCTCCCTAATGAAAAAACCAAAAACCAAGCATGTGAAAAAGACAAAGATGCTCAAACAATATACAGAAGATATTTTAAAGGCCAATTTTACCCATGTATTTTATCCATAAAAAATGTCCAATAAGTGAAAGATGTCATCAACAACCCATATATTTGATTCCATGGTATTTGAAGGTCTCAAAACCTTGAAATTGCAATTATTTTATCGTGAAATAAACTCATGAATTGATAATTAAACAGTCTTCCTTAAATAATGCATATCACTAGCTTTGATGATGTTATGATCTTCAAATGTAACATCAAACCTGCACATTCTTGCAATGATTGAGTGCTTTCTTCAGAGAAAGAGTAGTTTAGATCAGGCATTTGAAGGCTACCACATCAAAATTTGTTTTGAGCGAACAAGCACAGTGCTTATTTCTATGTATGAATTTATTCCGTTCCTAAAACTTTTTAAGACTGGTTATATACCACAACTAATTTTGTTTAATATTTTAAATTTGACTTTGCAACCTTGGCAGCTGAAATTATGAAAAAAAAGGCATACTTCTTTTACTGGCCCATGTCTTGCAAGAGTTCGAAAACAAGTCAATCAATATGTTGTTTTGATAAATACAAATACTTCAGCAATAGTAGTAGGCAATTCTTTGCTTCTGGTAAGATAAATTTTCCCATTTGTATTGATAATTCATAACAATCTTGATGGAAGACTTATGTACAACCCTAACATGCAGAATAAGAAGGTGGAGTTCAGTAATTCCCATAGGTCAAGACAAATTCAAAACTGAGTCTTAATATAAATTATTTGAGCCATTAAGGGGCCGTTTGGGATCACTTGTATTTTTTTTTATTTTTTATTTTTTTTGTTGAGAATAAAGGTTTTGATATGACTTATATTCAAGTCATTAAGGATATGTATACTACAGTTGTTACTTGCGTTCGAACTGAAGGAGGATTGACCAAATATTTTCCAAATATTTTCCTACTTCTATTGGATTACATTAGGGATCTGCTTTAAGCCCATATCTTTTTGCTTTAGTTCTGGATGGTCTTACTGGGCATTTACAGGAGGATGTACCTTGGTGTATGTTTTTTGCTGATGCTAACCTTCTCGTGGATAAGGCGAGAAAAAAAGCCCAGGAAAAACTTGAATTATGGAGGTCTACATGGAATGTAATTTTAGTAGTAATGGCTCTAGTGACATAAGTGTAACTTTAGTTGATCAAATTATTAAAAGGTGTTATTTAGTTAGATATCTCGGGTCAGTTGTTCAAAGCGATGGTGATATAGGTGGGGATGTTAATAGTAGAATTGAATTCAAGTTGTTGAAGTGGAGGAATGTTTCGGGCCTTTTGTGTGATAGAAAAGTACCGCTTAGACTGAAAGAAAAATTTTATGAGACGGTGGTGAGACCTACAATGCTCTATGGCACTGAATGTTGGCCTTTAAAAGAGAAGCTTAATACTAAGTTAAGTGTTGCCGAGATGAGAATGATTAGGTGGATGAGTGGCTTTGCAATTTGAGACAAAATGCGAAATGAATATATCAGTGATAGGGTTGGTGTAGCTCCTGTGACGGACAAAATTAGAGAAAGCCGTTTTAGATGGTTTGGTCACATTAAGCGTCAACCACCTGATGATCCGATTAGGAAAGTAGATTTTTTAGATTCGACTTATGTTAAGAAAGGCAGAGGTAGACCTAGGAAGACTTGCGCTTATTGTACGCTTATTGTCCTAGGAAGACTTGCGCTTATTGTATAAAAAATGATCTTAATTTATTAGAACTACATGAAAATATGACTCTAAATAGGACACAATGGAGTAAAAAAAGTCATGTAGCTAACCCCACGTAGTGGGATTAAGGCATTGTTGTTGTTGTTGTTGGTTTTAATAACACATTTCCAAAAAAAAGTTGATTCGTTCTAAGAAAAAAAAAAATTTATACAACCAAATATAATTTTTAAAATAAACAAAAATAGAAATATAAATAAATTAGAAAAGTGATGCAAAACAGGATCTAAATTAACTGAGGCTAGTTAAAATTCAAGTTGAATTGAGGTGAAAGAAATTCTAAACTATCTCAGTATCCTCAGGGCGTTTAAAATTTGCCATTGCTCAATAGTAAAAATTCCATCAGATATGAGGCACATTCATGTGCCCATAAATTTAAAACCATGGTTCAAGTAATCGGAATCCCAAGCTTATGACTCATCCTTGTTTGTGTTATAGACTTGATTATTAAGAGAGTTGAAAAAAATTTGATCGGCAAATTTTAATCTTTGTTTACTGGAAATGAAATAACATTTTTTCCATCCCAAAATTATTAGCTTTAAATATTAATAAAAAAACTGAAATAAAATACTTTTGACTTGTAACAACCTTAAGCTCTCTCGTGTAAAGCTCTCTTCCTTCAAAGTATCCTATAGATTTTTGTATGACTTGCCATACCTTAAGTGTTGATATATGTGAAAATCACTGTAAAATTCAGAGAATGATTTAGACGGCAACAAAAATGAATTTTTAGGAAAAAAATTCCACACACGCATACGGTCTCATCAGTACAGGCAAAAGTTGCATTAAAAAATTACAGATAACTTTTTCCAAATAAATGAAGCATCTTAAGTGCATGATTCTAGGCACTATTCATCATAATAGACATTCAAAGGACAACATAACCCATAAACCAATTAGAACATACAAAACTAATTATCCTATCTTAAAACGATGCATAGAGCTTTACTGATAGAAATAACGAGAACAAATAATATAATATTAATAATTTATAATATAAACATGACACTACAACCACAACCATTATACATGACTAATAGTTTTAAATCCTTTAAAATTCTATTTGGTTGTCTGCCATTAGGTGCTCTTGAGCTGCAAAGGATCACTCAAGAGTAACTTCTATAATGTTTAACGTTTGTTTGTCAAATCAGTACACATTTTCTAGTGATAAAACTTTAAACTAGGCAAATTTCAGCAGGGCTATATTCTTGCTACTTCCTCTATTACCCTTACTGCTATTTTCTGTGTGACGTATAGCAGGTTTTTCTTCCTGAACCTTGAAAAAGACAAGGTGGATCCACAGGGAATTTTAGCATACCATTCATATTATTCTATGTGATATAACTCTCTACTCATAAAGTTGAATAGGAATTTCGCTCCATAGAAGATTTGCCAAATATTTTAAATTGCTCCTGCCTCCACAATACTAGTAAGTCCAGGATCTGCTACGTTAATACTAGTGGAGGAAAAAGACCCTTCTCCCAGAGCAAAAAGATGGATATGTAAGGCATTTTATGCTTCACTCTGGAAGAAGTTTAAGATTAATAAATAGTCATGTAGGAACTAGAGAACTGGATATAGTAGCTTGAGAATTAAACTGCAATAAATGCTCCACTTCCTCTTATATTCACGCTTGTATTTTATGTAAAATCTTTACTATAGTGCATGAACAAAATTTTAAATTTAGATTTATTTCAGCTCCTGTGTGCATATAGGATGGCAAACTTGTCTAAAAATAGTCATCTTCCTAGAATGATATAAGCCAAGTTAACGATATCACAACAGCATTTTCATTGAAAAAGAAGGATAGCAACAAAATTGCAAAAGTCAAATAAGGAGCATTGATCGCACAAAGAAAATCTAGAAAATATACAAGGAAAGCATTCTAGGATCTCCAAAACATACCCAATCATGGCAAGCAACTAGGAAATGATCTGATCCTTTTGTTCGATTCCAGAAGGGATATTTAGAAGATATTTGATTCACATAATCCCTCAGAAATTTAGACAATGGCTTCATATTATGAGAACCAGGAACATAAAGAGCAAGTTCCATTCTGTGCGCACTATATGGAAGATAGAACAGATGTGCCCTACTTGGATCCTTAACAACGAAATGCCTATTCTGTTCCATCAACTTCATAAACCATCCTTCAGAAGCATAAATGCCTTTTAGTTCTGGTGTATGAAAAATTGGCTTTAGACCATCACGATAAATGTAAACTTTAAGTATTCCTTCCATCAATTCGTAACTCCTGGAGGCCAATTATTGAAACTTCATTTATATTGATTTTAAAAAGGAAATATGGTTATATATTCTCTGAAAACATTCCTAGCAACCAAGCACATTAAGAACAAAGTTATAACATTTTGGAAGAACAAAAGCATGCACATTTTCAATTTTCTACCAGATAATTACTAACAAAAAGTCTAATTCCTACAGAAAACCCAACAAAATGAAATAAACACCAATATTACCATTACCAATATCCCAACATTGCAGAGTAAAAAAAATGCTATATGGGGAACATTAGGCAATATGTTTTATATTAAGCTGCAAAGACCTATATTTTAAAAATCTAGAAAGTGACAAAGTAGTCCTCTGAATCTTTGCATGGGGCCATTTTAGTCTCTGAGTTAATGAAAGTGTCCACTTAATCCTCATAATCTTTTAATATGAGTCAAAATAGTGCATAGAAAACCAATTTAGCAGTTTTGTAAATTTTGGGCCGAAAATGAGTCAATGTAAATAGTCAGGGAACTATTTTGACACTTTACCATTTAAAAATTAATCATATTAATATATGGTGCTAGTATAGTAAATACTTGCATGGTAACATGGAGTTTAAGGGCACATACTGATGATTTGGCCCGAAGTAATAGACTCTTGGGTTAAATTAACCAAAAAAATGAATCATAATTATGACCATTTCAATGTGAAGACCATAGTTATAATTTGGATTATAATACAATACAACCTAGATTTCTGTGAATCAAGTCCATGAAACCACTTGCATATGCCTCTCTCTCTCTCTCCCTCCGCTCCCTCGTGAAGACACTTTGTCCTTAGGAAGGGTTATTCCATCAGGCAGATGGTGCATCACCATAATCTAATGGGCAGCCTTGCTTTGGTCGACAGATCCTCATAGAAGATTAGGTGGGAGTTCCGATAAACGATCGTTGATCTCGTGAGTGCCATTGCATCGGTTAAGTTGTTGTCAGTCCAGATGCATGTCGTTTTTTGGTTCGGACAAACCCTCATTAACAATAAAATAATCAAGGAACCAATTTAGCAGTTTCATAAATTCTGGGGCTAAATTGAGCCAATGTAACTAGTCAGGGGATTATTTTGACACGTTACCTTTTACAAATAATTCATATTAATATATGCTGCCAGTTTGGGCTAAAGCAGCTAAAAAAATGAATCATAATTATAATGACTTAAATGCGAAGATCATAATTATAATTTGGATGATAATAAAATACAGCCACCTGGGTAGGAAAATTAAAAAATAAAATAAAACATGCATTTCGGCTCTAACACATTTCATTATTTACACAGGAAAAAATGGTGCAAACATATAATGCTATTCTGAGCATTACCTCTTAAAAACTGAAACATTCAAAAACAATGGAGCATAAAGATCTGGATCATTAGTGACAAGAGGAGCATCCTCAATCTCTTTCTTAGCATAAATAAGTGCCTCATCAGGGCGTAGAGATCTTAAGTGCATCTGCATATATACCAGGAAATAACATATTCCATATAAGAAAATCCATCTCAAACATTCTAGATAAAGAAATTGATGGAAATGATAATTTGAAAGTTTATAAAGCATGAATTTGAACAGTAAATTCATGTCTCCACGGAACTTAATCCAAAATTATTCTCAAAATAATTCTGCATGAATGCATTCCTAATCAAGAAAGATGAACTCCAAAAATGTGCTTAAGAAATAGAATGACATCACACAGCGCAGAATAAAATTCGAAGTATCAAAAGTGCATCATGATGTTGCCTCAAGCAACCATTTTTATATTTTATATGTAATAATGATTAGAGAAAAATTAACCGGTGTCATAACTTTAAGAAGTTGGAACTTTCCTTTTAGAGTATTAAGTTACCTTGGAGTGAATCTACAAAAATAAAGAGCCTTATATCAACATCAAAACTATCTCCTTTATTAAGTTCCAGCACCCATTTTAAAGTATGAATAACTCTGACCAACCTTTGATCAAGGAGAAGTGCTCATGTCCCTCCCTTAATTCCTCAATCTAACCTCTTTGAGATCCATCTACACCACTTGTTGTGTGCAAGAAAGATTGTGATTGTAGAGTAAGAGATATATGCACTAACTTTGCATTCAGATTTCACCCATATATAAATAAAAAGGGTGCAAAAAATACCCCAAAGATTTTTATATGAAAAACAAGGAATGGAGAAAACTTTTGAGGACCTAGCCCAATTCAATGATTCAACTAGATGAGCATGGGTTACAAAACCGTTGCACGACTCATAAATAAAAGAGACTGGATTACAAGATTTTGGATTGTTAGCGAAACTGCCTACAAAGACGGTGAAAAATATTGGTGAGGAGGTCAAGAATGAGAGACAATCAAATAGTTGTGGTCAAATGATGGTGATCTGACAGTAGGTCAGGTGACAATCAATAGACATCAATGGTTGGCACAATGATTATTGGTTTATGGTGATTAAATGATGGTTATGCAAAAATAATTAGATGAAGACATGCCGGAAATGGTGATCGAATAATAGTCAAAATAATGGTGTGGTTGGAAGACGACATGGCTATTAGTAGTTATTTATGTTATTTAGATCTCCAAACTCTCCACAAACATAAGCTCAAGTCTATCTTCATTCATAGAGTGGAGTTTTTTTAAAAAAATTTTGAGAGTAACACCCCATCATTATTACCATCAAAATCTAGAGTACTCCACTAAATGAGCCAAAATAATTAATTTGATGATAAGCTGCTTTGAGTATTTCAGTAATTTAATGATGTCGAAAATTATTGATCTTAAACTAGTTGAGTTCACCTCATCAAGACGATATCATAAATTTGTTGTGATTGGAGTTCAATTGATCTTAAATAAATCCCTTAATCAAGACTATTAAAAATCCTCATCCATAATGCATTCAGATATGTGTCTAACCAAACATATTTTTTGTAACATATCAGTTGTCCTCTATTTTAAGCATCGATGCCTTAGTTTTCCAAAGAAATATTTTAATTCTTTGAAAATTTATGCTATATAAAATAACAATTTCAAAGAACTTACAAGAAGTGATGTCTTTAAACGTCATAGTAAATCAAATAACGTATAATTAATCATAATTTCAATTATTCTCAAAATCAGCATGTAATTGGAACAAAAGTTAATGAAATATTAAATTATTCAAATTTGCTTGAATTTGATTGTGCAAGCTCAATTCAGCTCCAAAAATGCTGAAATTGATTTGAAAATGTCAAAAAATACTAGAATATGCATAATTGAATCCATATTAAGTTATGATTAGCTTTTGTCAATGACAGGGGTGCACAATTTCGTGGGTACCTACATGTGCAAGGGTGCACGTGTAGCCACTTGTACCCTCAACCACGTGTTAACGCTATTACAATAATCTTTTTTTTTTAATTAAAATGTAAAAAAAAATGTCATATTGCCAAAAATTTTATAAGAAAATCTTTTTTTTTTTTAAATTTGCAAAAAATTTTGTAGCTTAGCTATTCACACTCGTTTTCATGTATAATGCTCCCATGGTGAGGGAAACTATCAAACGTCTCAATTCTTCCTCGGTAGGTTCCAACTCTTTCATAAAATAGGTTAAACATTATCTTATATAAGCATAATGTACTTATACATTGTTGGCTCTAATGCATCTTCACAAAAAACATGAGACGGTCCTTCATAGGAAGAGTCGCAGGAAAATCTTCTTCCTGGACTTCAATTTTTCTCTAAGAAAATTATTTTGCAAGAGTATAGATGTCCAAAGCAGTCAAGGCCCATAGCCCTAATGAAAAAGCTCCAATCTTGCCATTAAGAAAATATGAATAGTTCTTGTCAAACATATTAGAATTAGAGATAATTAAAACTCGAATGGGCTAATTTTTCACCCCCATTTTTGGGCTCCAACTTCTTCACCCTATACAACAATTACTCTCAAAATGTTGCAAAAAGATAGGTGAATAGCAAACAACATTACGATCAATTATCGGCAAAGTGATGTGAAGGCATTAACAAAAAAGAATTCCTCTAAAAATTTAAAACATGCACTCAGTATCTTGTCTCCGTTTTTGTGCAATTTTAAGGATTGTTATTATCGTATAAATGCTTTTGAAGAAAAAAACATTATTATATATTACTCATTTCAATTATTAATACACGAATTTGATTGATACTTACGATCAAATAAATGCAATATTGTTGATGATTGTCCAAGTCTTAATCTTTGTATAGTAGTGGCTTAAAATTCTTATTTACTTACCCCCAATAAATAACTAACACTTTGGGTGTGTTTGCCTTTTCTTTTGTATACAATTGTGATTAGAGTTTCACATTAAAATGAATGTGCTAATGTTGTAACTTTAACTAGGTTTCTTATTTATGCCAGGAAATCAAAGATCAGTGTTCTTTAGATCATGAATGAAGGATGGGTCACGACCCGACTCGGTTCTTAGAATTAACTAAAGTGGGAGCTGCGATCGGACAATATTAACTTTTCATTTACTTTTCAAAAATTTAAAAAACTTTCTATATATGTAAACGAGCCACTAATCCACAAAGTGAAATAAAAATTTAAGCATCCAGAAACAACATCATAATCGAAAAACAACATCTCAGACCAACATAAAAATTAAATAATAAAAGAAACTAAAGTTATATCATAAACCAATACCTATCAGTAGTAGTGGTCCTTCTCCTGTAAACTGATTATTTCCTACTAGACATAACACCTAAAATTTTCTTCTACTAAAAGAAAACATTAATTGTAACTGTAAATACAGCTTAGTGAGTAATTATAATCTAATATGTATTAAATTAAAGTTTATTTAATAAAGAATTTCTTTAATGCTTTAGACAATTATGTTTGTACGCATGGTGTAGCTTATGAATGAAGGAAAATGAAATGGGAAAGGAAAAAATATGTTTAATGTCTTTAAAAGGATATAATTTATATGAAATGAAACGAAAGTTAAATGTCTAAGTCACATAGGATTACCCCTAGATAGTACTGGCAGAAATGCAATGTACCCGTGCAAGTTAAAGGAAATGATAAAGGTGCGTCTCCGGTGAAAATTTGAGGATATTTTAGGGTACATTTTTTAGAGTGTCTTCGGACATAATTTAAGAGTGTCTTCAAGCACATTTTTGATGATACATTTGGGTTTGCTGGTAATCCTGTGATAACTATTAAAGTAATTAAATTGCTAAATACTTAAAACAAAACAGAAATAAAAAATTTTAAATTTTAATGAAATAAATTGCATTTTTTTTTGTCATTCATGCATAGCATGACGTAAAAATTTAATAAATATTAGATTAAAATTACTTACTAAGTTGTACTTACAATTACAATTAGTGTTTTCTTTCAGGAGAAGAAAAGTTATGGTTATTATGTCTAGTAGAAAAGACTTAGTTTTCAGGATGACCACTGCTACCACTAGGTATTAGTTTATGATATAACTTTAGTTTCCTTTATTATTTGCTTCTGTATAGAGACATTTTATATGTTGGTATGAGATGTTGTTTTTCGATTATGATGTTATTTCGGGATGGTTAAATTATTTCACTTTGTGGATTAGTGATTCTTTTACATATATGGGAAGTTTCTTAATTTTTTAAAAAATAAAATGAAAAGTTAATATCGTCGCAGTTCTCGTCTAAGTTAATTTTAAGCATTGGGTCAGGTCATGACAAAATATTTAATACATATAAGAAAATAATTACTCACCTTGACTTAGAAGGCCTCTTAAAATGCTTATTCCTTCACCTCACTTCCCCTAGCATTTTGACTTCTCTATCGAACTATAATTCAATGGCTTGATATATTAAAATCGCTAGATATAAAATTAATACCACATTTACTTGAACTAATTTATATACTTAACTCATAAAATTTATAAATCTTTACCTTGTCCTTTAAATTCCTTGATTTTACCTCTTTCTCAATTCCTAAATATTTATCAAGCCTTTGTTTCATGATTCAATTAGACCACTATTAATACTTAATATAACACACACACACACAGATATATATATATATATATATATATTCTTTCAATTTCTCTTTCAAAACTTCAATCGCTAAATATTAGTCATAACTTTAATAAAATTTCCATTAATATTATTATTAAACACTCTCCCAAACACATACACACACACATTAATTTTATTTATATAAAAACATATTAATTAACTTATAAAAATATTAAACATGCCTTATATAACCTTCGCTATTTGCCCTAGTTCACGCGAGCTCAGTTGTAGAGAGCATTTCCTCCCCTTCTTCCATCATCCCCATCCCATCACAACAGAGCATGTGAGCTCTCTCACCTCCCTTCGATCACGACTCAACATAGGCCCCCCTACCTTCACCTCCTTCAATTTCTCCGTCTCTCTCGCACGATAACATGAGAGCTTCTTCCCTTCTCGACAAACTTCTCGTTGTTCTTCTTCCTCTACTCTTTTGATTGCGACTCTACAGCACCGA